TGTGCCTGCAACCAATGTACATGCCCTTGACCGGAATTGAACCTGGGACCTTTCAGTCCGCAGACCGACGCTCTACCACTGAGCCAAACCGGCTTCGGCCAAACAGGAGTTTTAAACATTTTGTTTACCAATGTTTTAGACCTGAGTTCAAATTTTAACTCCGCCACTTGCTAGATATGTGACCATAGACTGGTTACTTTGCCTCTTTCAGACTCAGTTTCCCCATCTGTGTAATGGGGGAAATATAACTATTGCTTATTTTTTTAATAAAAATATTTTTTATTTTATTATTTTTAATATATTTTTATTGATTTTTCATAGAGAGGAAGAGAGAGGGATAGAGAGTTAGAAACATCGGTGAGAGAGAAACATCGATCAGCTGCCTCTTGCACACCCCTTACTGGGGATGTGCCCACAACCAAGGTACATGCCCTTGACCGGAATTGAACCTGGGACCTTTGAGTCTGCAGACCGGGCACTCTATTCACTGAGCCAAACCGGTTTGGGCAGTTATTGCTTATTGAGTGTTTACTTTGTGCTTGCCTGACCGCAGCTCTAAGTGTTTTGCATGCTCATTTAACCCTCACAATGACCCCTGACACAGGGCATAACACTATTCCCATGTTATCGATGGGGGACTGAGCCCCCCACCCAGATTGCTGGGAGTGTTCAATGAGATAGTGTATTAAAGCGCTTAAGACTATTTGGCAATTACAGTGTAGAAAGTAAACATTCGCTGCTATTTTTTCTTTTACCTTACTGTCCCTTGGAGGAAGTTAAGTTTACTGTACCTGATGGGGAAAATATATAAAATGATTGCCAAACAAAATGCAGGCTGCCCAGTTAAATTTGAATTTAAATTTAAACTTGAATTTTAGATAAGCAATCTAAAGAATTTCTGTGTAAGTATGTCACATCAATATTTGTCCTGTACTTATCTGAAATTCACATTTAAGTGAGCATCCTATACTTATATTTTCTAAATCTGACAACCCTCCCCGGGAGGGAGTGACAGGGATGGAATTGTGTGCCTCGTTTTGCAGATGAGGAAACAGTCTTAGAGGGGGGAGTGATGGAGCCATCACTTAGGTCTTAAGTGATCTCTTTGGATCCAGAGCTGAGGCTTCCAGAGCCTCATTCACTGTCTTTTCTCCGTCCGTGCGTTTCATGTCTTCCCCACCTCTGGCAGTAGCGTGCAGAGTGGCTCAGGGAAGAGGGGCACGGCAGTGTGACTAAGTGCTGTCTGTGCAGAAAGCCAGTGAGTGGCATGTGGGCCACTGGGGCTTCTCTCTCACTCCTCCCACGGCATCCCTGCTTCCTTCACTTTTCCCCCCAGAGGCCTGCAAAGCCCCTTCTCTGCAGGCGGGGTCCTCCTTCAGGGTTCCCACCCCCTGCCCCAGCAGGGCTGGGCCCTGCCCCCGGCTGACCTGGGTGCTGAAGGCGGAAGGAGGTGGAGGGGGAGGCTGAATTAGCCACTGGTCCTGCATTCTGACCAGGCCACGATTAGAATGACTTCTGGATTGAGAACCTGGGAGTCAGAGCCACACAGCCTGGGAGATGAGGAATTGGCCAGGCTGGGATTCTCCGCCCTACCCCCCTCAGCTTCTCCATGCAGATCCGCCAACCGCCTGCTCTGGGTTTCCCAGAGTCTTCACCGCATTCTAGGAGGCGGGACTCACTCACTGTTCCCATTGAGAGGTTTGGACACTGACATTCAGGGGACTTGCCTAAGACTCCTGAAGCAAGATGTTGATAGGATTAGGTCCTTGAAACGTATTCGGTGGAACCTCATTTTCTGAACATCTCCCATCTCGAACAATTCGCTTCTCAACCTGATAACCCTTTCATGCTGATACCTGTATGATCAGTCACACATCTCTTAAGTGACAAAGGAGAGAATGCGTGAATAGGAGTCCGTTTACCCTGTTAAAACCTCAGGAGAGCTCTTTCTCGCCATCGAGGTGCGTGTGCTCGCCTCACCTTCACCATGTCTTCCCGCAAGACTTTCAGGATCAAGAGGTTCCTGGCCAAGAAACAAAAGCTGAGTCGGCCCGTTCCCCAATGGATTCGGATGAAAACTGGTAATAAAATCAGGTACAACTCGAAGAGGAGACATTGGGGAAGAACCAAGCTGGGCCTATGAGAACTCACTCATGACAGATGACTCACATATTTATGCTATATCCAGGTTGCCTACACCTTTAAATGATTGAAAAGATGCTACTGTCGGGACAGTTGGAGCATTTTAATTGGAGAATTAATGGACTTGTGACTTTGCTCTGTTGGTTTTCCCCCTCCTGCAATAGTAGGATGGTTTAGTAATAAACATGTGAGATCTTTTAAACTGAAAAAAAAAAAAAAAAATCTCAGGATATTGGGCTTGAATATTTTTGGGGTTGATTTTTCTTTTTCTTTTTTGCTTTTGTTGCTGCTTATAATTATTACATTTTCATTTTTTACTGTAAATTTCCTTTTTGTTAAATTCTCATACATTTCATGTCCTTTTTGTTTTTAAAGTATTTATAGATTAAACAGTACATTAGACATGTACCGTATATAAGAAAGGTTAAAACAGGGAATCACTGAAACTGATTTGGCTCAGTGGATAAAGTGTCCGCCTGCGGACTGAAGGGTCCCAGGTTGGATTCCGGTCAAGGGCATGTACCTTGGTTGCGGGCACATCCCCATTGGGGGGTGTGCAGGAGGCAGCTGATTGATGTTTCTCTCTCATCGATGTTTCTAACTCTCTATCCCTCTCACTTCCTCTCTGTAAAAAATCAATAAAATATATTTTAAAAAAATCAACCAATGAATGTATAAATAAGTGGAAGAACAGATCTTTCTCTCTCCTTCCTCTCTCTCTCAAAATAAGTAAAGTACAAATTGGTAGTTACAAAATAGTCACAGGGATGAAAAGTACAGCATATAGGGGATATTGTAATAATTATGTATGATGTCATGTGGGTATTTAAAATATGGGGGGAAGGGACAGGACATCACTTTGTAAAGTATATGATTATCTAACAATGCTGTACACCTGAAAGTAATACAAAATAACACTGAATGTAAACTGTAATTGGAGAAAAAAAAGTTGAGAATGCCCTACAGCAGTGATTCTCCAAATGTGGTCCTTGATTAAAAATGTATATTTTCAGGTTCACTGTAGGGCGACCTATTGAATGGGGAATTATGGGTGGGGCCCAGCAATCTAAGGTTTAATAAAATCCTCAAGGTACTAGGAATTCTGATGGGCACTAACATTTGAGAACCACTGCCCAAGGGAATCTGAATGCGGTAGAGGTCAAGAATCTCTTTAAAATATGGTTTTAATTGATTTTTAAAGAGATAGTAGAAAGGAGAGGGATAAAGAGATAGAAACATTGATGAGAGAAAAATTAACATCAACATCAATTGGCTGCCTCCTGCACGTCCCTCTAAACCTAGGCATGTACCCTGACTGGGGATTAAACCAGTGATTTCTTGGTTTATACATCGATGCTCAATCATTGAGCCAAGAATCTGTATCTTTTTTATTTTTTATATTTTTTACTTTATTTATTTTTTACAGAGAGGAAGGGAGAGGGATAGAGAGCTAGAAACATCGATGAGAGAGAAACATCGACCAGCTGCCTCTTGCACACCCCCTACTGGGGATGTCCCCACAACCAAGGTACATGCCCTTGACCGGAATCGAACCTGGACCTTTCAGTCCACAGACTGACGCTGGTTTCGGCAAGAATCTGTGTCTTTAACAAGCTCTCCTAAAGACACATTTTAGGAAAAATTGACATGGAGGATTTAAAAGTACTTTGAGCCAAAACCGGTTTGGCTCAGTGGATAGAGCATCAGCCTATGGTCCCAGGTTCGATTCCACATGTACCTTGGTTGCGGGCACATCCCAAGTAGGGGGTGTGCAGGAGGCAGCTGATCGATGTTTCTCTCTCATCGATGTTTCTAACTCTCTATCCCTCTCCCTTCCTCTCTGTGAAAAATCAATAAAATATATATTAAAAAAAAAAAAAGTACTTTGAAAAGTGTGAGCATCTTTCCAGATGGAGGAAGCATGCTAAACAACAACAAAGGTCACTAATTATTAAGCATTTAGTTGTGTCTCTGAATGCACAGCCTATTCATTTTCACAAAGAACCCATGAAGGAAGTTGAGGATGGGCTCAAAGCCAGACTCCCTGATTTACATCTGTAAAGTGAGGATAATGAAGGTACTTCCCTCCTAGGTTTGTTGTGAGAACTGAAGAAGCTTATTGATCAGCTCTTAGAACACCTTCCAGGTTGGCTCCACTTATGTGTAAGCTATTTTTATCATGCCTAAGCGGACCCCGTTAAAAGGTGGATTTGAAACCAATCAATATTAACTCCGGAGTGTACTTTTGTAAGAATTAAGCTATAATCCAGTGGTTCTTCAAGTCTAATCCACCACCAGAGCACACCAGAGAGCTTTTTTAGAAATGCAAATGACTGCCTGGCCGGTGTTGCTCAATGGTTGAACCTTGACCTAGGAACCAGGAGGTCCTGGTTGCACATGCTCTGGTTTTGGGTTTGATCCCCAATAGGGGGCGTGCAGGAGTCAGCCAGTCAATGATTCTCTCCCATCATCTTGGTTGTATTTCTCTTTCCCTACCCCTTCCTCTCTGAAATCAAGAATGCAAATTATTGGATCCCATCCCAAATCTGAATTAGAAGCTCTGGGGGTGGGGCCCAGACGTCTAAGATTTAAGTCCTTCGGGTGATTCTGATTTACACTACAGTTTGGGTGTCATAGCTTCGGTTTTTAGAGGTTCTGGTGTGTAGGGTATGTGTGTGAAGGGGTGTTAAAAAAAAAGAAAAGAAAAGCAAAAAGCCTAGCGGTGCTGGAAGCAACCCAAGAACCCCTCCTTGCTCCTGGAGGCAAGAAAACCGATCCGCGGCGCTCGCCGGTCGCCGCCAGTCCGGGCAGGCTGCGGGCCGGCGCGCAGGGCCTTCTGGGGGTTGTAGTGCCGGCCGCTCCCGAGCCGGGGGCGCCTGCGCACTGGCCGCCAACTCGCTCTAGTCGCTGTGGTCCGGGCTCGGGACCGGCTGCCATCTTAGTCGAGGGACTGGAGAGTCGCCGCCGCCCCGAGTCCCGGTAAACACCAGAGCTGGCGGGTTGGGGGGATTTCTGGGGGGGAAGGGAGATGAACGTCCGAGGAGAACGAGGGTGGAGGAGTGGTGGCGCGCAGGCCAGGCCCCAGAGCCGCGACTGCTCCCCCTTCCCTCGGAGCCGGTGCCTGTGGGGGCGCGGGGAGCTCGGGCCAGCGGCTGGGGCCGGATGGGGGGTGGGACGGCCCCGATGCGCCGAAGGGCCACTTTCGGGTGGAGGCGTCCGGAGCGCCTCGCGTCGCGGGCCGCCAAGTTATGGGGAGCCTGGGCCGCAGCGAGAGCGGGCAGGGTCCGGCCCCGCGCCCCGCAGCCCTGCCCGGGGCCACCGCCTCTCGGCCCGGCCTCTGCGCGGGGCTCGGCGGCCGCGGCCAGCGCGGGCGACGTGGCCCTTTAAGGGGCGGTGGCTGGGCCCACCTGCCGCCCGGCTGGCCTTCCCGAGACTCTCCGGAGCCCCCCGATCGCGAGGGGGGCCTCGCCCCGCGGCTGCCGCTGCCTCCCCTTCCCTCTCTCACTCCTCCCCCCATTGTCCCTCCGCGGGGTGGTCCCGGCCGGCGGCCTCCGTGGTGCCCGCTGCTGCCGCGGCCCCGCCGGCGCCGAGTTTTGCAGACGTGGAACTGTCACCGTCCTCCCTCCCGAGAGGGCCCTTCTCTTCAGCGGAGAAAAAGGAAAAAAAAAAGTAGGCGTGAACGTTTTCTCAGGGTCGGAACGTGATGAGTTCATGACTTTGTGAGGGACTCAGATGTCCAGGCTGCGTCCCCAGAGAGAGAAACCCGGGGTCTGCGTCTCGAGGCTGAGCCTGACAGAGCGATGGAACCAGGGGAACGTGCCTACGACCCGAAATCCGTGATTCCCCAGTAACAACGTAGCTTCTTTTCTTGGTTATCTTATATCTTAAATCTGTTACATTTTCTGCCAGTGTTCTACAGTTTCAGTTTGCTTTCTTTGGGGAGTGAGGGATGGGGAAGGAAGAGTGGATTTTTTTTTTTCTTTGAAAATTGCGGAGGCACCGGGAGTCAGCTACCTGTCATTGCACTTAATTGAGGGCCCCCATCATCTATTCCTAATGCATATTAACCTGACGGAAGTATGTGAAGGCAATGTGTATTTTCCACCCTAAAAGTCGGCTAAGGGTTTATTACTAAGCTGAAATAAAGTTCTTAGGGCAGAGCTGGTGAGAGAGCTTGCATTGTGTATTTATGGGTTTCCTCAAGGTACAGTTATTTCATTTTTAAGATTTAGATATGAAGGTGGAAATTCAGTGTTTTTTGAACAATGAATCTAAATTTTGGGTCCAAAACTTAGTTGTGAGTCCAAAAGGAGTTCCTTCATCTTCAGCATGAGGCAAGTCAACAGGAATATGATATGAAGTTAAAAACAAACCCACACCAGTGCAGAATACTTCTATGGTGTATTCTATTGCAAATCATTTCTACATTTCCTTTAAAAAAATCTTTACACCTACTGGAAGATACAGACAAACTAGTCCCCAAGTTTGATCATTAGAATAATTAGGGGAACTTTTTAAAAATATATATATTTTATTGATTTTTTATGGAGAGGAAGGGAGAGAGAGAGAGAGAGAGAGAGAGAGAGAGAGAGAGAGAGAGAGAGAGAGAGCGCGAGCGCGCACGCGAGAGCGCGCGCTGGAAACGTCAATGAGAAAGAAACATCGACCAGCTGCCTCTTGCACACCCCCTACTAGGGATGTGCCCGCAACCAATGTATACACCCTTGACCGGAATCGAACCTGGGACCTTTCAGTCCGCAGACCGACGCTCTACCACTGAGCCAAACCGGCTTCGGCTTAGGGGAACTTTTTAAAAGTAGAAATTTCAGGGTCTCAACCCCAGAGATCGATTTAGTATCTCTGGGTTGGATCTGAAGAATTTACTTTTAAAACATGCCCCAGGCACTTCTGATGCCTTTGGGAACCACGGGGGCTAACAATACTGTGGACATGCCAGGAACAGCAGAAGCAGCTTTGGCTTAGGAGAGGAAGTGACCTGTCTGTCTGAGGGTTGGCCAGAGAAAGATGCAGGATCTGCCCCTGTACTAATTTAGGTCTTAGATGATGAGTGGGAGTGTGAAGGGGTGGGGGAAAAAGAAGAACTGGGCAGGCAGAGGAAAGACCTTAATGCTGTATGTAAATGCAGGGGATTGTGGAAGAGAAAAGGTTCAGGGAACAGAGGGTGGGATGGGGAAGGAGAGCATTATGGGATGTGAGGCCAGAAAGGAAAAAGGCTATTATATAAAAAGTTCTAAGTATAATGTTTAAAAACTTGTTTTATGTTGTTAGCAATAAATACCGATTTTTAAACAGGTAAAATGATATGAGGTCATATGTGTTTTAGAAAGATTGCTCCGATAAGTGAAAGAATGAAGAGTGGCTATTGCAGAGGTCTAGGTGAGAAGGGAAAAGGCTTGGCCTTGGAGAGAGGCTGTGGGGGGATGATCAGGGATTGGGTTTAGTTCTTTACTACGTCAATGTTGTTGACATACTTTTAGATGAGAATATTTTAGGGCCAATTTCGGTAAAGGGCTACTTTACTGTCAAAAGAACCCATTAGCAAATCTGAATAATATCGCCAGGCTATCTATGTTAATGGTATCAGATTGATTATTCATTATCATCTTTCAGAAATTAGAACCTTATGAGGTTCAGTTTAGAGGAGAACTTGGGAGATTAGACTGAAATTTATAACTGTCAACATTATTATTTTTGTTGTTGATTCTCACCTGAGGATATTTTTTCCATTGATTTTTAGGGAAAGTGAAAGAGGGAAACATTAATCTGAGAGAAACATATCAATTGGTTGCCTCCTGCATGAGCCCCCACCATAGCCCGGGCCAGGGAGGAGCCTGCAGGGAAGAGCCTGCAGTGAGGTACGTGCCCTCGACTGGAATTGAACCCAAGGACCCTTTGGTCCACAGGCCAACACTCCATCCACTGAGCCAAACCGGCCAGGGCTAACTGTCAACGTTTTTGATGTAAGCCCTTTGAAAGTATTTTTCTTCCACCCTCATAAACTTGGTATTAAAAATTTAGAGTTGGAAGAAATTGCAGAGATTATCTAATCCACAGTGGCAAATATATTTTGTTTTATTGGCCAATTCCACTTTTAAGTAGCTTCTAGAAGCAATGTGTTGAGAAGGATTTCGGTCTTATATGTTCCTCCGGAAGGCGAGTTATGATTGATTGGTGATGCCTCTTTTAGAAATAGTTCTCCAGTGAGAGGTGTATGTGCCAAGTATATACTATTCTTAGTTCATCCTCTTTGTTTTCTGTTTGTTTTTAAAGAAAGTCCAACGCAGGTTAAATTATTTACCTAAATAGAACTAGTTAAGAGAACTAGAACCAGGTTTTGTAACTCTTAATCTAAGGTGGTTCTCCAAAATGTACCAAGATGGATGTGTGCTACTGAAGAGCTTTTAGTGTTAGGCCAAAAGGGAAAAAAGTGTGTGTGGGGGGAGGGGGGGGCTTCCTAATCTGCACCTCTTGACTGTTTGGGCAAGAAGAGTTTAACAAGGAACTCTGGCCTAGAAGTAAGTTTTGTTTTCATTCTGGCTTAAGAAGTTACCTGTTGTTGTTTTTGGTTGTTACTTCCTTCCTTGTTTTTCACCTCTCTCAATTTTGAGTTTTTGGGGATTGGTTTCCTGTATATGTGTTAATGCAAAAGTGTATAAAGTTGTTGTTTTTTTGTCTGTATTTATAGCACCTAGCCAAATTCTGGGCTCATAATAAGCGCTCAGTAAAAGCATGTTGATTTTTGTGGCTGTAAATGATACTGGCTTTCAGTCAATATAAACTAGCAGGGGAGGAGGGGTATGGAATTGCATATTGAATTGCAGCATTCTCTCATTGGTAGGTTGACTGACCCTCAGCTAAAAATGCTGGATACGAGCCTTATAACTAGAAGTACATAGTTAACTGGAAGCTGTTCCTACCTCTATCTTTTTTCAGTCTAGCAGTGCACTGTCTTTGGAAAACTGCTGCCAGCTCAGCTCTTTTGCTTCTTTTCAGAACTGGGAAGATCCTTGAAGTGTTTTCTTTTTCTGTCCCTAGGAATCTTCAAATTGCAGGGACTGTCCTTATGATAACTCCAGTAGGTAGAGTACGTGTTTATATGGCTATTCTCATTTTGCCATGTAGCTATTGTACATAGGGGGGCATTATCTCATACTAAGTATGAGTCATTTTCAGCTACTCACCCTCTTACCCTGCCTGCCCCATCAACAATTCTCTATCCAGCCTGGCCAGTGTGGCTCATAAACTAAGAGGTCACCAGTTCAGTTCCTGATCTGGACCAATTCCCTGACTGTTGGCTCGATCCCCAGTAGGGGGCGGGCAGGAGGCAGCTGATAGATGATATTTCTCTTTCATTGATGTTTCTCTCTATCCCTTCTCCCTTTTCTTCTCTCTCAAAATCAGTAAAACATTTAAATATATTTTATTGATTTTTTACAGAGAGGAAGAGAGAGGGATAGAGAGTTAGAAACATCGATGAGAGAGAATCATCAATCAGCTGCCTCTTGCACACTCCCCACCGGGGATGTGCCCGCAACCAAGGTACATGCCCTTGACCGGAATCGAACCCGGGACCTTTCAGTCCCCAGGCCGACGCTCTATTCACTGAGCCAAATTGGTTTCGGCCCAAAATTAGTAAAACATTTAAAAAGTAAAAAATATTTTCTCTATCCATTGAAACTTAAAAAATGACTTGTTTTATCTGATTCCCAAGGTTATTGCTAGTTTGATGCATTTAACCATAGAAGCAGTGTATTAATGGACCTTTCTTTTCCTCTCAGGTAACATGCATTTAACAGTGGCATTCTGGAGACAACGCCTTAACCCAAAGAATTGACTCCTGACTTGAACAGTGAGAACTTCAGGTATGGTGGCATGCCTGTGAGAGAGGTTGTGGCACAGGAATGGTGCAGAGGGTAAACCCTGGTCATGTAACTGCTATGGGAGGTATGGAGAGAAGGCACTATTGGTGCTGCTTATATCAGTTGGTTGAAGAAATAGGCAGTTTCTACTTAGATCTGGAAACTCAAAGCCTCCTCTATGAGAATTATCATGTGAGCTACACTGTGCTCTTAATATGTATGGGTCCTCTGACTTTTCTGTTTTTCTAGCTTCCTTAGATATATACACACTTTTCCCATCTGTGCTGCTTTGTAAATGGTTATACTTCTCTAGGCATGTGCATGTATATGGTAAAAAAGTTTAAGAGTTAAAAGGAAGGCAACATGGTGCAGTGGGAAAAGAATGGAGGACGTGGAAAGAAAAGGCCTTAGTTTTTTGTGTGTTTTTTTCCTTTCAAGCCTCACCCAAGGATATTTTTCCATTGATTTTTAGAGATGAAGGGAGAGGAAGACAGAAACATCCATGTGAGAGAAACATATTGATTGGTTGCCTCCCCCGTGTGCCAAAAGGGCCGGGCCTGGGGAGGAGCCTGAAGCAGATGAGGTGGTGGGTGAGAAGGCTGAGTAGGAAGGAAATGGTGCCTTGTATTTGCCTAACCTTTACCTTGCTGCCACTTGTCATTGTCATTACTACTTCCCTTCGCATAAATGCTCCATCCATACTTAGACTCTTGTCTCCACTGTAAACATCAATGTTTATTATTTACTTGTCTTTGTGATCCTTTGTGTTTATTTTAATTTTTGTTAACTAATTACCCCATAAATTCTGAGAAATTAAGTACTATGATTTGCTTATAATGGTGTCTCAGGTCAGTGCTATAATCAAATGTGTACTTAATCTGTTCCTTTTTATAATTATGGAGAGAAAACAAAGAAATGGTAGGGTGCATTGTGATAGATACTAGGAAAAGGAATAAGTAAGAGGAAAAGTAGATAGATAAGATGATAAAAGGAAGAATTCTTAGGATCTGACAATGAAAATGAAAAATACATATGTAGAGCAAAAAAAGGGGGAAAGGAGATGGTGCTATCTGCAGTATAGGAGCAAGGCAGCTTTCATTTATTTAATGTTGATGTAATACTTTAGCTTGTTCTTGGGGGGCCGAGGATAGTCATTGGGGAGAAAAAGGGGACATCTATAATACTTTCAACGATAAAGATAAATTAAAAACAAACAAAAAACGTTCTAGGAAAGATTCTCCATACCAGAATTAAAAAAATATATATATTTCTAAAAGTATCCACTTCATCCTGAGCTCATAAAGTAGTTCTTTGTGGAAAGAAAACTGGGCCAATATTCAGAAGCCCTGGTTCTAGTGTTGGATTGCTTGTTACTTAAATTCCGTGATTTTGGGCAATTCACTTAAATCTCTGTGGGCCTCTGTTTCCTCACTTGTGTATTGAAAGTATTGAACATGATTGTCAGATTCCTTCTAGTTAGCTCACGCTTTGGTTATACTTAGTACTTCATGCACTGGCTTACTAATTTTACAGGGCTTTGTTTGTATCACAATATAAGACTGTTTCAGAAATATAATAGCACTTAATAATATCCAGTGTTTTATAATAGAGAGGCCATTTTAAGTTCTACTTTAAACATTAGTAGAAAGAGAGACTTTGTAGGAAGCCTAGGTATAGAAACGTTAAGTTTGTAATGTTCAGCCAGCATTTAGAGCTCCTATGGTGCTAGGCCCCAAGGGACACTTAATATAAAACCCCTGCCTTACCCATGAAGAGGTCCCTGGATTGTGGGCTTGATGATCCCTAGTAGGAGGTTTAATGTGGTATAGAAGACAGCCAATTGATGATATTTCTCTTATCAATGTTTCTGTCTTTCAATCCCTCTCTTTTTCTCTACAATCAATCAAAACATTAAAAAAAACTAAACAAAAAACTGCCTCAAGGATTTTGTGTTCTTGTCAGGGAAACAAACTTGTTCACCAGTAATTATTGTAAAAAGCAAGATGATATTGTAAGGATTGCATTGAATTGCAACTTAAGATAATTAACTTTGGTTTCTTGGTTCAAACATAATTGAATATATGCTAAGTGTTGCTCAGTGCTAGGCATTATAAGGAGTCATGATGAAAAAGCATTCCCTGCTCTTAAGAAACTTGCAATTTTTTGCCAAAACCGGTTTGGCTCAGTGGATAGAGCATTGGCCTGTGGACTGAAAGGTCCCAGGTTCGATTCCTGTCAAGGGCATGTACATTGGTTGTGGGCACATCCCCGGCAGGGGTTGTGCAGGAGGCAGTTGGTCGATGTTTCACATCGATGTTTCTAGCTCTCTATCCCTCTCCCTTCCTCTCTGTAAAAAATCAATAAAATATATTTAAAAAAAAAAAAAAGAAAGAAACTTGCAATTTTTTTTTTTCATATCTGCAAACTGATAAACCTGATAAACTCTCTACCCCAGGAAAGAGAAATTTTGTACTATATCAGTTTAAAATTTTAAACAAAGAATTTATCGGCATGGAACTTACCTCACTCCAGAAATGTCTTAAAAACATACTTGCTTTCTGAGAAAATACATTTTATTGGATTCCACAACCCTTTCTCTGTCAATTACAGAGGTTTTGTTTTTGTTTTGTTTTGTTTTTTAAAGAAATGCCATCTACATTTAGGTGAACTTTGGTTTGCTGCTTAGTCATTTGTGCAAAGACAGAGTAGACTCTAGAATTTAGTCCTTTGATCCTTTGTTTTAGTTGGTCACAGAAGAAAGGATGTTAGTCCATAAAGGAATCATGTTGTAGGTATTAACCATGTCTACTGAAATTAGATTCTTTGATTTTGAATTTTGGCAATATGATTAAGTTCCTTAACTTCTTTGTTTTTAAATTGAGATGTAAAATTTACAATTTTAATAATTTAAAATATATAATTCAATGCTTGGTTCACAATTGATCTAGTGGGAAGTGTATACCAAATGTGGTCTGAACATCTTAATTTTTTTCTAAAGAGAAGCTAGAAATCTAGATTTAAAAAAAGATATGTATATTTTCATTGTATTATTTATTTAGATTAATCCTCACCCAAGGATATTTTTCCATTGCTTTTTAGAGAGAATGGAAGGGTGTGGGAGGGACATAGGTGTCTCACATCAACTGGTTGCCTCCTGCATGCACCCTGACTAGGACCGGGGGAGCCTGCGACCATGGTGCTGAGGTGCCGAGGTAGGTGCCCTTGGCCAGAATTGAACCTGGGACCCTTCAGTCTGCAGGCCTGTGTTTGATCCATTGAACCAAACTGGCTAGGGCTGGAAATCCAGATTTTGTGAGAAATCTTTATTTTTAAATGTTGGCAGCTTATGAATTCATAATATAAACACTGTGGGCCAAACAAATCACCACTGTGGGCTGAATTTTTCCTGTGGGTTACCTCTGCAACCTCTGATCCGGAGCTTGACGTTTTGCAGCATAACTCCTGTTCCCTGCCCTCTGGGAAGAAAGTCCTAACCCACATAAAGATTTAAGCAATACCTCAAAGTAGTCTGGGCTGAATGAGGGGTATGTGGAATAACTAAGACAGAGAGGAAGAGGGAAGCTATTTAAGACTGGGATTCAGAATGGGCAAAGATGCAGAGGCGGGAATGGACTTGATGGTGGAAATGCAGTAAAGAAATTATTTGGAATTTATATTAGTTTGAAGAGGCTTTGTGTGGGCCTGGTATTAAGAGAAAGTTTTGCAAAATTAAGAGATCAGCCTTATTTTGGGATAGCCAAGTCCCTGTTGGCTGACAAAATCAGATGGTATTTTATGGAGATTTATTTCATAATATTGAGGTTTACAGTATTTACTAGAGTTGGTGGGGTCTGGTCTGGAGGCAGGGAGACCAGGCTAGAAGTGGTAATGGGAATAGAAAGGAAGGGACAAATGTTTGTATAAAAGACAAAATCTCTTATTTGGGTCACCCTGTGACAGTGGGACCCTGAAGTAGATAGAGGGGGCCGATTTTGAGAGCCTTTTCCCTATCATTTTGTAAAAACGGGGTGGGAGGATAACACTGTGTGGATAGGCTCTCCCTCTTTTTTCATGTTGCGGATCTTGCTTCATTACTCTGTGTCAGCGCACTCCTTAATGGATCGCATACATAGTCTTATGATTTCCCAGTTAGCACAAGTAGAATAGAAAGAAAGGAAGTTCTTGTGTGCTATACAAATAGTTGAAGGTTAATTAGCAATATAACTAAATATTAACGCTGCCAGTCTCTGTTAGACAATTTCATAGTGTTCAGATGAATTAGATACATAGCAGGTTTTCATCTACAAATATGAAACTAAGGTGTGGTTTGTTTTTTTAAAAATATATTTTATTGATTTTTTACAAAGAGGAAGGGAGAGAGATAGAGAGCCAGAAACGTTGATGAGAGAGAAACATCGACCAGCCGCCTCCTGCACACCCCGCACCGGGGATGTGCTTGCAACCAACGTACATGCCCCTGACCGGAATTGAACCCGGGACCCTAAAGTCCGCAGGCTGACGCTCTACCACTGAGCCAAACTGGTTTCGGCAAGGTGTGTTTTTTTAATACTAGGATTTGAAAAGGTTATGCTTTTGAAAAATGGAGTAATGTAACGATTTAAAGCATAGGATTTGGATTGCCAGCTCTAGCAATGTAGTATAAACATAGGTACTCTGAGCTCCTATTTCTTTTTCTCCGAAAATTGAGCATATCTACTTTCCATGGTTGTCATGAGACTGCACATTAAACAATCAATAAAATCATAGCTGCTATTAATCTTGTTAAAAAGAGAAACGCCTTAGCTGGTTTGGCTCAGTGGATAGAGTATCAGTCGGCCTGCACACTGAAGGGTCCCGGGTTCGATTCTGGTCAAGGGCATATGCCTGGGTTGTGAGTTCAATCCCCAGTAGGGGGCATGTAGGAGACAGCCGATCAATGCTTTTCTCTCATCATTGATGTTTCTCCCTCTCCCTTCCTCTGTAAAATCAATAAAAATATAAGA